ATTCATAGCCGTTTCTGGGCAAAGCTGCCGACACTTCCTTTTCTCTCTTTCTCGTTCTCATTTTCTCCCTTTGCCCTTTGATTCGTAACCGCGCAGGGCGGCCGTTTGCTTCCGCTGCCCGGCAGCTGGCCCCGAGCCTGATTAGGCGCCTCCCGTGCGCAGTCCCGGCCGGCCCCGCGCCTCGGTCGCCAGGTCAAGTCGAAGAAAGAATCGTGGAAGTTAATTTGATGTGCTCAATATAATGACTGGTGGTGACGCCGCCCACTGACTGAGACAACTATCAAACACAAACGACTTCCTAGCGACAGGCCTGCGACCCTAAGCTCCCATGGTAGCTATGGGCCACTCGGCCGTGCTGCGCAGAGGCGTCCGCCGCCCTTACGACCCTGGAAGCGTAGCCGTTTCTTGGCTCGCCATCTTCAATAATTAGAGAGGCTGTCATCAGCGAGAAGTGTCGGCGGGACCCCGATACCCGAGCGTCGACCCTGGACCGTCACGACAAGCCTAGAAACCCGGGCCGGATCGTAGCCACAACAAATGACCCACAAGCCGAGCTGGGATAGAGGCCAAAACCCCGCTGGCCCGCGCATGATTTCCACACTTACGGGCCACAAAGTTGTGTTTGAATATTGCTATAAGTCAAAGGGCTGCAGCATGTATCGTGGACTGTCCTTGATAATTAGGCCAGAGATAAGACGCCGGTCGGACGAACACACCTGAATATGGATGAGTTAGCCAGATCCGCTTAAACGAAGTCCGCTTAGCCAGCCGGGGGGAGGGGGCTCCGGGGGACATTCATGACTGCAGGTGTCGCACGGATTAGAAGGGCCCCGGATAAGCGGAACGCGCTAGTGATCTATTCGCCTCATGCACCGTATTCAGGCCCCTCCTCCGCCCCTGGCCCGGCGCGTCCTGGTGCCGTGTGTTGTCCACTATCGCTGACCAGGTAATTAATTAGTTCGCTTTTTTCGCATGACACCATTATGCCTTGTCTGGAAACCGTGATACAAATCTTTAGAAAAAACAGTAAATATTTAAATTGAGTCTACAGATAATTACGGGCGTGACAATGAGTTGTGGCAGAGATAGCTCCCTTCTTGTATTCTAAAAGTGACAATAATTGGCAAAATTGACCATTGGTAAATCAGCAAAAAGAAAATATCCAAAACAACATGGGACTCTTCAGTGATGATTTTATCTCTCGATCTGAACTGTCACAGAATCTTAAAATGCCTTTTTTGAAACCTTCCGTCCCATTATAACTCTCCTTTGACCAGCGCGACACTACTCTTTGGATATCTATTCGAAAATTCGGCGCTTTTGGATTTCTCGGCCATAATGGGATAGAAATAAGAGACAAAACAGTGTTCGTGCGTCATATCGAGGTTCCGCCGTCCCCAGCCTTGTGCTTGGCATCTTCGCTGATCGTCAAGAGATGGCAGCACACATCATGACGGTCGTGCCGGAGCCCAAGTTCATCTCTCTCTCTCGCTTTCTTTTTTCTCTTATCTTTCTTCTCTACCTTCCTTTCCATTCGCTTTTTGCATTTTATCCGTGGATTCAAGGGCTAAGGATGATGAGTATGAAGTAGAATGTGGAAAAAATAGTCTTTATAATCTCTAAAGATCTTGTTTAGTCAAATGCAACAAGTCAGGAAAAAAAGTTGTCGAACTCCTAAATTGAAAAGTTAATTACTTTAAAAGCCACCCTTTCGCTACGGACGGGTCGGTGGTTGTGGAAGTATTTCTTGCTTTACGAGAAAATACAAAAACTGAATCTTAAGAAGAGATGTATCATTGCTTTTTATTTACGCTTAAAAATGCGCATGAAGGAAGGCACTTTGGAGGACATCTTTGTCTTTATATTTGTGATTATGCGGGTTTCTCTCAATCACGATTCTTTTGAGGTTTGTTGGAAATCGAAATAGATTTCAACGCATTTGTAGATAGTTATCCGGCCGTACGAGTTTGCACGTGTTTGTAGGCACGGTGTGTGTGTGTGCGTGTGTGTGTGTGTGTGTGTGTGTGTGTGTGTGTGTGTGTGTTTGTCTGTGTGTATGCACTTTCTATGTAGGTGGATAGCGTTGACTGAAGTAAATTATTTATGATAATCATTTATGAATATGTCACTTATTTTCTGGGTTTTATTATAAATGACAGTATTATTATTCTGTTTTTGTTATTGTTACTGCTAGTAGTAGTAGTAGTAGCAGAAGTAATAGTATTTCTACTACTCTCGCCGTTGTTGTTACTGTTGTTATTGTTGATGTTCTATTGCAAATTAATTTCCATAATTTCATCAGCATTTTATTATTATTTTCTTCATGCTACTTCAGTTACTTCAGCCATCATTATGGTTATTATCATCAGTATCAGTGTAATGTTTTGTCTGTATTGGTCATTAATGATACCCTATTGTTACCCTAATGAGCAAGTTAATTATCATTATTAAACCCAGGTCGTTTTGGGTTGTTGTCTTTTTTTATCTGCCGCATGGCTTT